TGAAACGCGTCGATTTTTACAAAGCTCATCGGTCTGAAAAGCGAGGTGTGCTGTGATTGGCCAGCTATCCAGTGCGTTGTGATTGGCCGAATACCTCAAGCGTGTGACGGAAATGTTACGCCCCTCACCATACTGGTCGCACCGCGTAAACATAAAACCATGTCTGCATTTGTGATTGGAGAAATGACAAACAACAAGTGCTACTCTACACTGCTCAAAACTCGCGTGTGAATCATCAGTGGCAAATTCTTTAAATATGAAAAACGTACTTACAGTCTGTGAGTCAGAACAGCCGGCATTGTAGTCTACTCCTCCAGGATCAGAAAACAGTCCTCCATAAAATGCATTGCACACATCTGATATTTGGGTTGGACTGTTTCGGAACCGGGGTTGCAAATACAACTAACCACTGATTTCTAGTCCTCTTTTGGAAGGCCAAACAAAGAAGTTTCGCTTTCACAATTAAACACAGCGTGACACACGGCGGGCTAGAGTGAGCGGAGGCCACCTTGAGTGAGCGGTGGCGGGCTTGCGGTAACCACATGTGACGACCCCGGGCTAGACTCTGCTTCGTCCATGGTGAAAGCCGATCCGGCGATCCACAGCGCGAAGTTGATGTATTTCCTCAGCGACCAGCACGGATCAGCTCTAGGCATGAAGAGCTTGTAACAATCCAAAGATAAAGGAAAAATTGAAATCGCATCATATGACCCCTTTAAATGAATGCAATTGTCTGATGAAGTGTTTTATTGACACAATGTTTGTTTTCATATGAAAAAGTAACATACTTGAAGGAGAAATTATTTTTAACTCTAGGCCCAAATTACATGTTTTCATGGTCCCAGTTAAGCCAAAAATGTAAACTTTCTAAAATTTTCACTATCAATAACGATACCTCGACTTTGATACTGGTTCCTGATTTTTTCAAACTCTTAAACCCCTTAACTCTAGGCCCAAATTACATGTTTTCATGGTCCCAGTTAACCCGAAAATGTATGTAAACATTAAAATTCGATACTGCTCGATACAGCACAAAGGTAATCCATATGGTTCTAGTTAATAAAATAATACCAATAATAACAAAAGCTGACTTGTTCCACACCTGAATTGCCATGCTTATCTGCTGTAGATCTCCACAGTCTTTCCACACAGCCTGAAACCAAAAAAAATTGTTTTAATACTTTGTATTACATTCACACATTACAGCCTATGTTCCACTGAGACAATGATCTGGAAGCTGAGCAGGAAAGGTTAACAGTGATGTTTTGGTCCGCCATGTGATATTAGCTACATTTATAGAAAGTAAATTTATATTATTTACTTTGACTTAGCTGCATGATATTACTACCTGGGGTTGTAACTGTCCAGGATAGATGCAATTTTCATAATCAACAATCCAATATGTAACGGCAGTTTACTCAGCCTCAGGCCTTAAGATGTGTGTTTCATTCCTCATCAGAACACAAATATTATATCAATTATTACTTATAAGATTAACATATGCAATACATGCATAATATAAGTGTAGGTGAGCAAATGCGCCCAGAATGTGAATGCAAACGCTTTTTAATTGCAAGTTAAGCGTTTTCCCATAGAAAACCATTACAAAACGCTGAACGCATTAATATAGTGACAATGGAGGACCAAATTCTGTATACTTAATAAAATATACTATGTACATGTACAGGAGAACATGAAAGGGGGAAAAAGCGCCTACCTTGCGATTTACCATGTTGCGTTCATACTCATAATAAATAAGGTGTAACTGGATTCACTCTCAACACTGCTTTGATAGTTAGCCACGTTAAGCATTTCAAAATGTCCCGCCGTTTAAGAGTTTGAAAAACTGGTGGGTACTTCCAGATGAGCAAAGACTTTATATACACTCGAAACAAAACAGTTTATTAAATCTTGTTTTGAGTCTTTTGAGGTCAACTGATCTTTCTTATAAACGTGCTGCAGTTTTCAGTGTTTTGCCCTTCAGCTCTCAATGCCAGTTATGTGTCTGAACTGAACACCATTTAGAAATGCTAATTTTAGCTTCTAAACTACACTTAAAAACACAAATGTGCAGTGCAGCCACACTATATAAAATATGCTGTATGAAAGACTTACCTCAGTCTGTTGGCATGTCTGCTGTACTATCGTCAGAATTTGTTGTAGTTGGCGAAACAGTCTCACTAAAGAAAGAGCACATACAGGTGCATCTCAATAAATTAGAATGTCGTGGAATAGTTAATTTATTTCAGTAATTCAACTCAAATTGTGAAACTCGTGTATTAAACTCACACATTTCCAAATGTACAGCCTGAAATAAATTCAAATCATCCGCGTTTCCATCGCTGTTGTGTTGTGATGTTACGTTCGTGAATGAATCGTTCTTTTTGAACAAATCTTTTAGGTGAACCAATCGTTCTCGTTATCCATTGACTCATATTTCTCGTTCACTGAAATTACTCCCTCCATAGAAGCTATTAGCAGCGCATGCACAGCTCGGTGAACCGGGTAGCTCTGTGGACTGTTTCATCCTGTCAAAGAATGACTAAACCTCGAGCCAATAGCCTTCGAGTATGAGATGTGACGGAGCATGTGATTTGTTGAATGTAGTGAACGAATACGCCCTTCACTGAACAAGATTAATTTGAGTCTGAACGAGATCGAGAGATCTTCTCGTTCAGGATCGAAATGACCGAACTGGTACATGTCGTTCGTGAACGAGTTGAATTAACTGGTACATGTCGTTCGCGAACGAGTTGAATGAACTGGTACATGTCGTTCGCGAACGAGTTGAATGAACTGGTACTTCTCGTTCGTGAATGAAATGACCAAACTGGTACATGTCGTTCGCGAACGAGTTGAATGAACTGGTACATGTCGTTCGTGAACGAGTTGAATGAACTGGTACATCTCGTTCGCGAACGAGTTGAATGAACTGGTACATATCTCGTTCGTGAACGAAATGAATGAGATTGTACCGGGTCAGTCGGCCATTTAGCATGTGAGTCAATCTCAATCAGCCATCAGCAGAAAGCGGATGCAAAGCGCAGTTATAGGTACTGTGCACATACGCTTGTTTATATAGTCATATTTAACATACAGAACATAACTCCACGTTTAATCCCCGATTTATGAATGTGTAAATGTCTGACCAAACAATTAAAATGTTAATTATACAAGAAAACCTTGTGCTTTGGTCATCTGAACAACTTATTTAGACTTTGTTTATTTAATGAGTAGATTATGCACACATTTGAATAAAGCCAAATCAGTTTTTTGTAACAAGTAAATACATTTGTTGACTTAAGACATAGCACATAAGACTTTTTCTCCACCTGCTGGCGTATTTATGTAATATGAAGAAATGGTCACTGAACGAATCGGTGAACGAATCTGAACGAATCATTTTGGTGAACAACCTGAAAATTAACGAATCTCTTGAAAGAATCAAAATTTCCACCACTAATGTTGTGTCGTACGGTACAGAAACAGCTCAGCCAACCATCGTGGGCGGAGCTAAATTGGTGGCAAATTTGAATCTGCGTCATCAAGCCCGGGCACACAAACACAAACACACACACACACACACTACACTAACCTTACCCTAAACCTACCATCACGGAAAACAAATAATTAGCCAAATAATGATTAAAATTTGCATTTATTTGCAAGACAAGGTTAAAAGAGTAGTAAAAGAAACAATGCATAATTTACAGTACATGCACTGTACAAATACTATTATTTGACCTTCACAAATCATCACTGTAATGCTCACATGATTAACGATCTTCAATGGTAGGCTAATAATAACACTTTTACTGAATGATTTGTGGTTAAAAAAAAATTACAGGAATAATCTTTAAATATTAAATAACATTTTATGTAAAATTACACATTACTCTGTGAAAATACAGAAAATTTCCATTTAAAAAACATAAAATTTATGTAATACCGAAATACAAGCAATTATCTGTAAATTTAATGGTGGAACTTTAAAGTACAGAAAATATATACAACAGGTATTTCACTGTATAATGAAAAAAAAGGGGAAATTCTTAAAAAAAAAATAAAAAAACAGAAAATTCCTGTAAAATAACTTTTTTTTTTTTTTTTTTTTACAGTGTACAACATTCTACTAAATATCCATCAAATGTATAGGTAAAGTTGCTTATCAGTCCATCTTGAGAAATAACAACTGTCTGTCTTTAGCTGTTCCAGATTCAACTGCTGCTGCTGTTGCTGTTGCTGCTGCTGTTGTTGTTCTGCTGGTTGCAGTTGCTTGTGCGATTTACTGTCACTGCAGGAGACCAAGACAAAATGGCAAGTATTGCATACAGCTGATTCGGCAAGCTGGAATGAGATTTATTGTGCCAAAAAAGTATGTATATTTGTGTAAGTATGTATTTTTATACTAACTGACCAAAGTACACTTTTATTGTTATTGTTCAAACAGGAAATAGGACACACCACAATGATCAGGATCAGGTGAGATACTATGAGCACAAAATCTGCCTGTAAACACCTACAGATTTTAAACAGACTGGCATCTTTGAGAACTGTTAAGGCTCCAATAAACTTCAAGCAAAATCAAAGAACTAAATGGTGTGATGTAATTTTGAACAAAATTAGGCCAAACCAAAGTTTGTTTTATTGGAGTTTGAAACCGCTTGCTTTTAACTACCATTGGCATGTGGCGATTACACAATTGCTAGGTGTGGCTCTGGGGATTCACCTTCTTTGACTTGAAAATCTTCTCCAGTTCATTTATTTTGTTCAGTCCCTCGAGATCAGACGTCCATAAGTAAAAACATGAATACTCTGGGGAGCTTCTTTATAGAAACTGTAGCGACAACGACACAGTAAAGCTACTTGCTTTAAAGCCCTATGCTATATAAATAAATGTGACATGACTGGAGTGCCAAATTGAAGCTCATGGAAACATTTATACATCACTATGACAAGATGCTTTCTTAACTGCTGTTTTCTCAGCACTGTTATTTTGTTGTGTGTTTATTTTGCTATTGAGAGGAAAGTGCACAGCACATATTTACGTTCATCTTAACGCTGCTCTCAGCAATGCAGGTGGCGTCTGAATGTTTGCAAACTGTATATCGCTGGTCACGTATTTCAAACGTTTTACCCCTAAATTGAAAAAAAATGTGTAACTGTTTGTTTGTGTAACTGAATCATCAATTTTTTCCACAATAATTTGTCTTACCTTCTGTGAATCTGTGTTCTTTCAGGAGAATGGTGAAGAAGGATTGCTCTTTACTCAGACTGAGACTCTGCAAATGGTGTTTGCTGATGGGGCATCCCTTAATCAGAATGGGACTCATGGTAGGCTAATAATAACACTTTTACTGAATGATTTGTGGTTAAAAAAAAATTACAGGAATAATCTTTAAATATTAAATAACATTTTATGTAAAATTACACATTACTCTGTGAAAATACAGAAAATTTCCATTTAAAAAACATAAAATTTATGTAATACCGAAATACAAGCAATTATCTGTAAATTTAATGGTGGAACTTTAAAGTACAGAAAATATATACAACAGGTATTTCACTGTATAATGAAAAAAAAGGGGAAATTCTTAAAAAAAAAATAAAAAAACAGAAAATTCCTGTAAAATAACTTTTTTTTTTTTTTTTTTTTACAGTGTACAACATTCTACTAAATATCCATCAAATGTATAGGTAAAGTTGCTTATCAGTCCATCTTGAGAAATAACAACTGTCTGTCTTTAGCTGTTCCAGATTCAACTGCTGCTGCTGTTGCTGTTGCTGCTGCTGTTGTTGTTCTGCTGGTTGCAGTTGCTTGTGCGATTTACTGTCACTGCAGGAGACCAAGACAAAATGGCAAGTATTGCATACAGCTGATTCGGCAAGCTGGAATGAGATTTATTGTGCCAAAAAAGTATGTATATTTGTGTAAGTATGTATTTTTATACTAACTGACCAAAGTACACTTTTATTGTTATTGTTCAAACAGGAAATAGGACACACCACAATGATCAGGATCAGGTGAGATACTATGAGCACAAAATCTGCCTGTAAACACCTACAGATTTTAAACAGACTGGCATCTTTGAGAACTGTTAAGGCTCCAATAAACTTCAAGCAAAATCAAAGAACTAAATGGTGTGATGTAATTTTGAACAAAATTAGGCCAAACCAAAGTTTGTTTTATTGGAGTTTGAAACCGCTTGCTTTTAACTACCATTGGCATGTGGCGATTACACAATTGCTAGGTGTGGCTCTGGGGATTCACCTTCTTTGACTTGAAAATCTTCTCCAGTTCATTTATTTTGTTCAGTCCCTCGAGATCAGACGTCCATAAGTAAAAACATGAATACTCTGGGGAGCTTCTTTATAGAAACTGTAGCGACAACGACACAGTAAAGCTACTTGCTTTAAAGCCCTATGCTATATAAATAAATGTGACATGACTGGAGTGCCAAATTGAAGCTCATGGAAACATTTATACATCACTATGACAAGATGCTTTCTTAACTGCTGTTTTCTCAGCACTGTTATTTTGTTGTGTGTTTATTTTGCTATTGAGAGGAAAGTGCACAGCACATATTTACGTTCATCTTAACGCTGCTCTCAGCAATGCAGGTGGCGTCTGAATGTTTGCAAACTGTATATCGCTGGTCACGTATTTCAAACGTTTTACCCCTAAATTGAAAAAAAATGTGTAACTGTTTGTTTGTGTAACTGAATCATCAATTTTTTCCACAATAATTTGTCTTACCTTCTGTGAATCTGTGTTCTTTCAGGAGAATGGTGAAGAAGGATTGCTCTTTACTCAGACTGAGACTCTGCAAATGGTGTTTGCTGATGGGGCATCCCTTAATCAGAATGGGACTCCGCGAATGGGTGCTGCTGGAGGGGCATCCGCTGATCAGACTGAGACCTCGCCGATGGGTGCTGCTGGAGGGGCATCCGCTGATCAGACTGAGACCCCGCCGATGGGCGCTCTTAATCAGAATGGGACTCCGCGAATGGGTGCTGCTGGAGGGGCATCCGCTGATCAGACTGAGACCTCGCCAATGGGTGCTGCTGGAGGGGCATCCGCTGATCAGACTGAGACCTCGCCGATGGGTGCTGCTGGAGGGGCATCCGCTGATCAGACTGAGACCTCGCCGATGGGTGCTGCTGGATGGGCATCCTCCGATCAGGCTGAAACCCCACCGATGGGTGCTGCTGGAGGGGCATCCGCTGATCAGGCTGAAACCCCACCGGTGGGTGCTGCTGGAGGGGCACCCGTTGATCAGGCTGAAATACTACTTAAAATAATCAATTTTTTTGGACATACACTGTAAATTCTAATTAGTAAGCCTTACTCAAAAAAAAACAAAACATGCAAACCAACTGCCTTGAAATAACCAAGTAAAGTGAAATGAGAATAGTATGTTGTACTAACCAAGGTTTAATTAGTGTTGTGAACTTGCTCGCAAGTTCTGGCAACTCAGAATCACTATTTTCAACCACTAAATTAT